AATAATAATTAATAGGCCCTCCTCTAGATCATTGGGCCTAATTTAATTCAATGCAGAACTTCCTCATTATTCATCTGAATTGGGTTTATAATATATCATTGGAAAGCTCTTTTCGAGCCCAATTCAACTACACTATTATTAGACCCTTATCATTGACCAAACCATATTAGATGGCTATTTTTCATGAATAGAGTAAGAAAAGAAATATTTTTGAAAACAGAAAGAGAAATATTTTATAAAAACATCGTCATCACTAGACTTTTCACACTTCCAATTCGTTCGATAATCAAATAACGTGAAAGGTATTTGTCACTGGGTTTGGATTTGGGGAGACACATTTGGGTGTCTACAGGTAGTAATTCACAAAGACCCCTTTTTGAGGTAGTAATTAACAAATTCTCCTTTTTTTTAGAATAATTTTACTTCGTGTAATTAAATTTTTGGCTTTTTCACCATTTATTGAGTAATTTTTTTATTCACCATATACGCTTAACTTTCGCAAAATATCTTTAGATTGTTCAACTAATTAATTAAAAAACTTTAAAAAAAAACCACCTCCAGCCACATGTTAGCCTCCTTCCGCCGGTGATAGACCACCTCTCCATTATCGCCACTAAGCCTAGTCTCCCCACTGTTTTCCTAGACCCCCTTTCCCTAGCACATCGACGCCGCCCCTCCCCCCAGCCCCACATCGATGCCCCTTCCCTTAAATCACCGTACCCCGCCTTTCTAGCTTAGCCGAAACCCAACCACCACCCTAAAACCCCTTCGTTGATAGTTTAGACCCATTCCCTACGTCGTCGCTGCCCACCTTAGCCGAAAACTATATTATCACCCCAAATCCTAATACCCTTAAATCAAAACCCTAGATTTTGATTGGGGTTTAGAGGGTGGAGATGGAAAGGGGTAGAGGTAGGGGAAGGGGAAGGGCAATTTTGGTTTGGCGACGTGGGGATAGGTTTAGACACGGCGGTGGGGAGAGGAGGGTTTTTCGAGGGAGAAAAGGGGTTTTTAGGATTAGAGGAAGGGTGGTTCGAGGGAAGGAAAGAGGTGTCGACAATGAAGGGTCGGGGTTTCAGTGTCACCTGCGTAGGTGTCGCTGGCGCGAGGTTCAAGGTGAAAATCACATTGGTGGGTGTAGACATCTACATTTGGCCTCCTATCCCGACAGGAAGTGCAATGACGATAAATAAAACCATCTTTATGTTGGATCGAAGTGAAGAATACTTATGGAAAACTGGTTAAGCCACAAAACACAAAATACTAGCCCAAATTAAAGAAAAAGCCAAAACAAAGGTCCAATTAACTAAACCCGATCATAATTAGGCTTAAGCCCGTGCTTAAAAACTAATAATGACGGATTTAGGAGCGCCTAGGTTAAATCTTAGTGCTGCCGCAGAAAAATCCGCGCGCATCTCAAAGAGGCGCGCTAGGCTGCCGCGCGCAACTAATTCAGTTGCGCGCGACACCCAACGCAACCCTCAGAGTTGCGTTGCGGAAGATTTAGAATTATACGAAAAATATAAAATCGAATCTTACCATAAAGCCGCGCACAAGACAATTAGTTGCGCTACCCATAGCAGCGCAACCTAATCACTTGCGCTGGGATCTATAATTACGAGCTTAGACCGAGGCTTAAAGAGACAGAAATTAACCTAAAACTTTGGCGAAATACTTGTGAACTTGTGCAACCTAGCCCCTCTTGACCTAAACACTCACCCTTTTGATACTTTGTTACTACGGTGGAGGTTCCCCAACAAGAAGGAGTCCATAAGTGTTCTAAACGGAAATCTAGCAAAGAGAAGAGGTAAATTTTCAAGCACTTTGTTAAATCACATTTATTTTCTTGTTTAAAAGAACCTTAATTAATTAATTAGTGTTGTTTGATCACCTTTAAAATAATTATTTAATCAATTCCACATAGTATCTTGCATTAAATAAAGATTAGAATTGAATTAAATAATTGTTGGTTGATCACTTAAGCCAAGGCGAATATTGTTTATTTTCTTGTTCTTTTCACGAATTTGATTAAATAAGAATAACGACATTACGATGTAATTCCTACGTGATTAATGCTTGTAAATAAAATCAACTAACATAGTTTTAGGTATCGCGTTGCATATATTGTTTGGTGATGAAATTGTAAAAAAGGAAGAGCTAGTAGAGGCCGCACTAGGGCTAGGATAACGATTCCCCTCTAAAAGGAATGTCATTTAGTACCCTCGCTCCCGAACTCATTTATGATTTATAGACTAATTTGGGCATGGGTAAATTTATGATTCATGCTAATTATTCCATGAACTCCACATGGAAGAAAGGCATGAACAAGGTTTATGAGTTTTTCCTAAAACTCATTAGCGACTCCTACTTGTTTCTTACAAAAAAGCATAATGATAGAATCAATTCTTATTCAAGGTCCCCCAAACAGTCAGGAATTCAAATCGTACTACACCCTAACAAGTGTAAAGTCCTAGGCTTTTAAGTGGCCAAGGGCATTTAAGGAGAGTACCTGTAACACCCCGTCTAAAACATAAGGCAAGACGTTAGCGGAAATAACGTCGAGACGGAAATGTCACTCTAAGGTTACCAAAAAAAAGAGACAATGATTAAAAAATCCGAGACAAAAAAAGTAAAGTGAAAGAAATCCCAAATGAACAATAAACACTTCCAATGAGGGAAAACAACCTCAAATATGATAATCCCAAAAGAGAAGGTACAAAGATAACAAAAGCAAGTCTATAAAACTGCTAAGAAATAAAGTAAACACTCTGCTCTCAGCCCAGACTCAACAAGAACTACTCTTCACCTGTAAATAACATTAAGGTTCCACAATAAGTGGGGAGTAACTAGCAGTTCTCCCAGTACTTGTAGAAATACAAAGCTAAGTACAAAAAAGCTTAGACACTAGCATAAAACTTAACAACATGTGGGAACAACAGCTCAAATAATATTTACCACTTAACCTCGAGGGAAAAATAAAACATGGAATCATGATTATAATACATATCAAGCAAGTGAATAGAACAACGTAAAAATATTACCACAAGAAAAATATAAAAGGGCACCAGTTCAAAACCCCCCTATAGCACCTGTTTCGGGGTTTTCTGATGTCCTGCGGGAGAGTTACAATTCCGAGACTGGAACCGGACGCCTGTACCTGCAAAATAACGGAGACTCCTGAGAGCTCCGCCTCCAACGGTCAAGTTAGTACCTGATTAAGGAGTAATTAATACAGAAATTAAAGTAATGAGATCTCTCCAGGTGAGAGTGCTTAGTGTTGGTAATCTGCGTCGTTAGCGAGATTAGCCGGTTGTTAATAACTCTGTTCTTTTCTGCTTGATCTCTTGATTATTCGATTCTTTTCTGTTGTGTGATTAATGAGGATTAATCGAGTATTTATAGCCTTGAGAAGCGTGCAACTCTCTAGGTTTAAGGTAAACCTAGGGCTGACCGGGCCTCTAGACTGGACTGGGCCTTGATGGCCGGTTTTCCCATTTGGCATGGGCGGACACGTGGCGTGTCTTAAGTGGTCCGTAGAGGACGTATCTGTGACTGACACGTGGCAGGCTCCTGTTGGCCTTAGTGAAGGACACGTGGCGGAACCTGGTTGGTCCACTTGTCAGAAGGTGATTGGTGGATAAAAACCCCCTAATCATTTGCCCCTCACAGGTGGCACGTGACTGGTCACGGGTCGCCTGTGACAGGTGTCGCACGGTGACAGGCGACGGCCTGTTACAGGTGTCATCTTGCAAACGGCCGAGAGATTTTCCCGCCCACATTTTGAATTTGGAAGCGACCTTTCGCCTTCTCACTTTGCCTATATAAGGAAGTGCTGACTTCGGTCATTTTCACATTTGAGAACTTTGCGAGAACATTCGGACCCCTGAACTTGCTCTGACATTTCGGACCTTTTCTGCCTACCGCCTGTTCTGACAAGCCGACTGACCCGAACTTTCAGGACTTCATCAACCGTCACTCGTTCAGGTAACTTAGTTCTCTTACTCTTAATTTTCTTTTTATTTTTTGAAATGGCACCATGGAAGCACACGACACGCCCTAAGTTAGTGATCAGCCGGTCACCGGGGACGGCTGAATCTAGGACTAGGAGTGCCGCCTGCCCTTTTCTGGACCCATCTTTGCCCTTTATACAAAGTCCGACTGTATCTGTGTCTATGCAGAACGTGATGGCCAGAACAAAAAAGACTGCTATGATATCAAACTCAGACGGCTCCTCCCAAAGGGTGCTCCTTAGTGAAACATCTGACCAGGCGCCAGATGTAGAACGAGGCGACTGTCAAGCCGACAGTTCTGAGAGAGGGGCCAAGGTGTTCCCTTCCCATCTTACCGTGGACATGTCTAATTTTCCTTCTGCTCCTTCTAAGGGAGAGGAGGCGGGCCCCTCTAGGAAAGGGGAGGAGTCGTCCTCCTCGGACTCGTCAGAGGACGAGTCTGAGTCCAGTTCTTCTGGCCACAGTTCTCCTGGCTCAGAAGAAAAACATAGCCGCCTACAAGAGGCGAGACGTTCTCATGCAGTTGAGAAGGGGGACAATTGGGCGGAGCCGTCCGCCTCTTACAGAGAGGAAAACGCCCCCTACTACTGCAGGGTACCCCGGGGCCGGATCGCAACCATGCAAGACAACGTGGCGAGCTTTATTGCTAACCACAAAATGGGCCCGGAGTTTTTACTGTTTGTGCCGGATCCAGAAGATACTGTCGTCTGGCCGGCTGGTACCAGCTATGGTGACGGTTGCTTTGGCTGCTATGTGGCGGCCATCAAAGCTGGACTACGCTTCCCATTACATCCGGCTGTTCAGCGGATTTTAGATGGGTATGATCTGGGGTTATGGCAGTTAGCCCCCAACTCTTGGGTAAACGTACTCGGCTATGTGGCCGGGTGCGAACTGAACGGGGTAAACCCTTGGCACATAATATGATTATAGGATGTACTTTGCTACGTTTTTTATCTAACAGACTCAAGATTAGGGTGTTCCTAGCTGCAACATAAAAACAGCAGAAAAGAATCTTAAATCAGCAATAACAAATAATACTATCTTACCTTTTCTTTCTGAATTACATATAGGGAATGGGGTGGGGGTAGGAAAATGAACTTAAGAATATAATAAAAGAGGCATTCAACTGCTGAAACAACTACTTCAGAGAGTCTGATTTAGCATATAGAGTCTGATTTAGATGCCAGAACTGTACGCTAATCTAAGTAGATAGCTACCCTCAACACTCCTAGTTATAAAGTCGAGTTCACAACTGCTCTTAAAGAGTTATAGTATCCAACCCAATGCTATATAATAAATCAATCATCCAGCATACAAATCAGCTCAATTTTCTTGCAACCAATGCTATACAAGAGCAAGAAAAAACAAAAAGAAATATTTTCTTGCAACTTAAGCCACTGTCACAAAAAAAAAAAAAAATCAGCTCAATTTAGCATTACATGAACATGAAGAACACCAATTCAACGCGTAATTTTGTCTAGAATTCGGATATCCACCAAATTTCACTAATCACTTTCATTCCAGACATAAATTAAAAATTCAGAAAGAAACCACCACAATTAAAAATTCAGAAAGAAAATACCCCAACTAATTCAATCAAACGCCCTATCATTTCAATTGTTCATTCCCTTTTCAACAATTATGTAAGTTTTAGAGGTTGAGAGTGACTCAATAGAGATAACACCATCAGCCCCAATCTTGCCAATGGCTACAGCAAGAATACTCCCAAACATAGGCTTAAAGCCACACTTTCCTGCAATCTTGGCTGAGCAAAAGTAGCAGCTACAGCACAGAAAAAGCAGCAGCTACAACAGAGCAAAAGTAGCAGCAGCAGGGGTGCACTGCATGGAAGCACGACAGCAGGTTCAAGCTTATTCAATCAAAAGAAACCCAAAACTAATCAAAATATACCCATACCACAATCAAGAAATCAATCAAAATATACCCAAACAAATATATACCTAAAAAATCAAATTAAATGACAACTAATACAATATTCACAATACATCCACAGATCAAACTACTGAAATTCAAGATTCAAGTATCAAATACTCTGTAAACTCACAAGTTAAATACTCCGTGTACCCATGATTCAAATATTCCGTATATTCGCAATTCCAAAAGCTAAAATTAATAAAATCCTAAATCAATTACAATTATTGAAACAAATTAACAAAGCCCTAGATCAATTGCAATAAAACTGAGTTGTGTAATCTGATTTTAAACCCCAAAACTACTATCAACCAATTCAATCATCATCTATGAAATTTGACAAATTAACGTTCAATCAAATACTTCGTTCAATTCTTCCAATTCCCCAAACTTGATAATTCAATAATTATTGAAATTATATCAAATTTGCATAAAAAAATAACAGCAATTTCGTGAGAAAAAAGGTACCAAACCAATGACGATCAGGTTGAATACGAGAATTAGGCAAATCACTAGACTGAGAGTAAAGAGAAAAAGGGATACAAGGATGAGATCGAAGAGTCTCTTGGTCAGCTTGACCAAATTAGCTCCATGGACATCCCAAATTCAACTGCATGTTGAGTACGACATCAACTTTAAGAAAATAAAAACATTAAAATTCAAAGCTCTAAATCTTAGCTAGTATACCGATATTAATCTATCTAACATATGTCGATAATCAAACACATTTAACCAAAACCCTTAACTCTAAATCTAACAAAAACAAATATTAAACAAATTATTACCAAAAATAGCACCATTCGACCAATAACAAGCATCCAATTAATCATGAATCGTCAATTCATCATATCGTTATTTCACAATTACCTGAAAATCAAAATTAAGGATCCTTGAACCAAAAGCATAAATCATACTGAATTTTAAAATTCAACCCACTACCATACACTTAACATTAATTAAAAATAATCAAAGTCATATTGAAAATTAAAAAAATTACTGAGTAATTCCAAATCAAGTAGCCAAACCATTAAAATTCATCAACTAAACATAGATCAAATTACAAATTTCCATCCAATATTTTACACAATACAATATGCAAACCTTTACATCCATGCAACCAAATTTCCATCACTAAGCAAATTAATCTAACATTTACAAACAACAAAAACCCTAGAAATTGAAAAATAAATCAAATTAACAATCAAAAAAAGGAAAGTATATACATAACCATAACCAAGATCTGAAGCAGAGGACTCGAGAAGAGATAGACCCGTTACCATCGCCGCCGCCGGTGAAGAAAAAGCGTCGTCGTGTATGGTGAAATGAAAGAGAGAAAAGGAGAGCGAAAGAAAGAACGATCCAGTTTAGGAGAAAGGAGAGAAAGAGATGGCGCCGCGGCGAGGTGGAATGGACGGCAGTACGACGGAGCTGAGAGATACGAGAAAGATCCAGTTTAGGAGAGAGGAGAGAGAGAGAGAGAACGATCAGAAGGAAAGAGAAAGAAAGAAGAGGGGAAAGAGAGAGAAATTAGAGGGATGGTTTTTTTTAACAGTAAATTCCCACCGGTTCAAACCGGCGCCATTTTATTAATTTGGCACCAGTTTAGTTTGAACCGGTGCCATTTCTATTATACTGAATTCCACCTAATTTTTTCCCACCGGTTTTTAAGAACCGGTGCCAATAACTCGGTGCGCATTTGTATTTTTCTACTAGTGCAAGAATTCGGAATAAATATTGATTAGGGGATTTTTATCCACCAGTCACCGTCTGACAAGTGGACCAACCAGGTTCCGCCACGTGTCCTTCACGAAGGTCAATAGGAGCCTGCCACGTGTCAATCACAGATACGTCCTCTACGGACCAATCGAGGCACGCCACGTGTCCACCCATGCCAAATGGGAAAACCGGCCAACAAGGCCCAATCCTGTCTAGAGGCCCGGTCAGCCCTAGGTTTACCCTAAACCTAGAGAGTGGCACGCTTCTCAAGGCTATAAATACTTAATTAATCCTCATTAATCAAGAAGTCAAGAAATCAAGAGAAGAACAGAAACATTACGGAACACTAATAACCGGCTAATCTCGCTAACGACGCAGATTACCAACATTAAACACTCTCACCTAGAGAGATCTTATTACTTTAATTTCCGTATTAATTACTCCTTAATCAGGTACTAACTTGACCGTTGGAGGCGGAGCTCTCAGGAGTCTCCGTTATTTTGCAGGTACAGGCGTCCGGTTCCAGTCTCGGAATTGTAACTCTCCCGCAGGACATCAGAAAACCCCGAAACATTTGGCGCCGTCTGTGGGGAGAGTACTTCAGAGATGGCATCCAAGTCTGTACCGACTCCTGAAGAGAGGCGTCCCCTAAACGACCCTCAAGTTCAGTCGGACCATGATACCGAAAGTGAATTTGAAGTGGAAAACTCATACAGCTCCAGACGGGACCCTAAGGGCCCGACGTACCCGTCATACCGAAAGGAGGGAACGGGAGCATCTTCAAACAGGAAGCGAGCCAGCAGGCGCACCGCCTGCTCGGCAACAGCCGACTGATGGGTCTGCTCCCATCACAAGGAACGAACTCATGACCTTCATGAGGGACTTCAAGGGAGAGATTCAAGAGTTGATCAACAAAAAGCCGTCTGCTTCAGTCAAAGAGCAGTCGGCCAAAAAACCTTCCACTTCACTGAAGAGGAAGCCAGTTCAAGGGCGAGAGGCGACTCCTCATCCTAAATCCAAGAAGCGGGAGCCACTTGCTCTTGATTTCACAAAATTCCGTTATCCTACGGGAAATAGGAAACCGGTTCGTCATATTCAGGCGGACGGGTCAAAGCAAACGTTCACAGATGCTCGGCTACTGCTAGAGCAGAAGAAGAGTGACCGATTGTCAGAGTCGGCTTCTACTTCAAATTTTCAAGACAGTTTGCGAAATGCCTCGATGAGGCATACTCAGTCGTACCATGAGAGTCAGTCAAGCGGCACCTCCCGTCAGTCCGGCTTTCATAGTGCCCAGGCGGTACCAAACTTACCATTTGTGCCGCAACAACAGTACTTTATGCAGCCACCTCCATTTGGTGGACCTGCAGCAAAAAACGTCCAACCTATGGACTGGAAGCTACGGCTGCTTAGACTTGGTGAACAGCCGTCGGCCTTCTCCAAGGAAATTACTGAAGCCGCTCAGCCGGCCAAAGTAAAAAATGTACTAGTAGGCGCCTATGACGGCACTACTAACCCAGAAGACCATCTGATGGCTTTCACCAACCTGATGTACCTTCAAGGGTTGGATGATCCCACTTGGTGCAAGTGTTTCCCAGCGACTCTCAAGGGAATCGCACAGCAATGGTTCGGCAACCTGCCGACTGGTTGTGTAAACAGCTTCAGGACGCTTGCTTACTTATTTGCCTCCAACTTCGCCATGAACATCCCTGCGAAGAAAACGACCCTTGATTTGGGAACAATTCAGCAGGGCGAGAAGGAGGGGCTTCGTTCTTACATCAGGCGGTTCAACCTGATGAGAATACAGATTCAAGGGTTACCGGATGAGGTAGCTTATATTGACTTTTTTAGAGGTCTCAAAGATGGGTCTACCTTCAAATTTGATTTAGTTCGAAAAAGGGTGGCGACTCTTCAAGAGGCCTTGATTGAAGCAGAAGCCTATATACAGGCGACTGATCTGTGTACGATAAAACAGTCGGACGGGAAAAGGTTCGACAAAAGAGAAGGACGACAGAAACAGTCGTCTAACAAAGATGAGAAAAGAAAAGAGGTCTGGGCGGTTGATTCCTCTAAACAGCCGGCCCAGAAAAAGAAAAAAGAATTCAAACCATACTCCCCAAAGTATGCGTTTAACAAGGATAACCAGTTTATCCTAAAAGAAATAAAGGGACGGTTCTCAATTGAGAAGCCGGTCCCCATGAAGGGTTCTGCAAACAACCGGAACCAAGACAAAATCTGTGCTTATCATGATGACGTTGGTCATCACACCAATGACTGCATCAGTCTCATGCGGTACCTAGACCGCTTGGCTGAGCAAGGTGATCTTGACACTTATGTCAAGAAATCTACGGGGAACACTTCCTCAAAAAAGCAGTCGGCCAAAAAGAATCAACAGGCCGACAGTTCTGATACAGATGATGCAGTCGTCTACACCATTGCAGGCGGCTTCTCAGGAGGCGGCCCCACTATTAGGGGCAACAAAGATAATATAAGGCGGTTAGATGTAAATTCCGTTCACCAAGAACGGCCGTCCAAATATTCATTTCCTGAGATTGTCATCACTGAAGAGGATCTAGGAGGGGTAAGGGGGCCGCATGACGACCCTCTCGTTATTGAATGTAAAGTGGCCAACCAGAGAGTTGGCCGAATCCTCATAGATACCGGGAGCTCCTCATATCTCATCAGCAGCAAATGTCTGTCAAAACTGAAATATCAGACGGACTGCATACATCCGGCCTCCCACCCTTTAATAGGGTTTGGAGGAGGAGTCGTCCACCCACTGGGGCGAGTAGATTTACCCATTCGCCTGGGCGAAAAAGGGGAAGGACGACACATGGTAGTCCGGTTCCTAGTAGTAGAGGAACTCTCGGCCTACAACATGATTCTGGGTCGACCAACCCTGAATAATTCCAAGGCTGTTATAATCCCGTCTCTTATGCTGCTTAAGTTTGAGAGGGATAATGGAACAGTCGGCTCCCTAAGGGGAGATCAGAGGATGGCTCGAGAGTGCTATCTCTCGGATGTCAAGCCCACTGTTATGGCCACTGGGTCAAGTGGAGAAAAAACAGACCTTGACAATGTCAAGGAGAGTGCGCCTGTTCAAGAAACAGGCGACAAAAAGAGAAAGGCGTCCCAGACAGAGTCCGCAAGAAAAGCAAGAAAATAGCAATCATTGGCAGAGGAGCGGCCGGATGAGTTCCGCCCTCAGCCGGCTGGTGAGCATGCGGACCTGATCTTAGACGACTCCCGTCCTGACCGAACAGTCAAAGTTGGGACGACTGCTCTGAGAAACCTTGGTGACGACTTTCACAACCTATTGAAAGAATACAAGGACATCTTTGCATTTGAAGTCCATGAAATGCCAGGCATTAGTCCTGATCTGGCAGTACATAAACTCGCTGTGGATCCGAAAAAGAAGCCGGTACGGCAAAAGAAGCGGAACCATGGCGAAGAAAGAAGTCAGGCGGCAGCCGCCGAAGTTAAAAAATTACTTGATGCAGGGTTCATTCGGCAATGTTACTTCCCAGACTGGGTTGCAAATGTGGTGCTTGTTAAAAAGCCGAATGGCACCTGGCGAATGTGTGTAGACTACACAGACTTAAACAAGGCGTGCCCCAAAGACAGTTACCCTCTGCCTAAAATTGATAACCTGGTCAACTCAACAGCCGGCCATGCCTTGATGAGTTTTATGGACGCCTATTCTGGTTTCCATCAAATTCCTTTATGGAAGAAAGATCAGGAGAAGACGGCCTTCGTCACTGATCAGGGATTATACTGTTACACGGTCATGCCGTTTGGTCTTAAGAATGGCCCGTCTACCTTCCAACGAATGATAAACACAGTGTTCTTTGATCAGATTGGGAGAAACGTCGAGGCATATATTGATGATATGATTGTCAAGACTAAACTTCAGAAAGATCATCTGACGGACCTCCGAGAAACTTTCGCCACACTCAGGCGGCACCATGTCATGCTCAATCCCAAGAAATGTGTATTTGGAGTTGAGTCTGGGAAATTTCTCGGATTCCTTATCAATCAGAGAGGAATAGAGGCGAACCCTGAGAAGGTACAGGCGGTCATTGACATGCTGTCGCCTCGTACCATCCGAGAGGTTCAGAAGTTAACAGGTTGTCTGGCGGCCTTGGGGAGATTCCTAAGCCGATCAGGCGACAAATGCCTATACTTTTTCCAGGCAATTAAGAAAAAGGCAAGGTTTGAATGGGGGCCGGATGCTGAGGCCGCCTTCCAGAAGTTAAAAGTTCACTTGCATTCCTTGCCGAGGCTGGTCAGCCCTTTGCCCAAAGAGGATCTCTACATGTACCTGGCCGTCTCTGATCATGCGTTAAGCGCTGTGCTCCTTGCTGAAAGGGACGGCTGTCAGCTCCCGGTCTACTTTGTCAGTCACGTACTGAAAAATGCCGAGTTGAGGTATCCCCTAGTGGAGAAATTTGGTCTTGCACTCTTCATGGCTGTTAAAAAATTGAAGCCCTACTTTTTGGCACATTCAGTCGTCGTGTATACCGACCAACCAATCAAGCGGCCCCTTACCATCATGGAGTCGTCAGGACGAATGATCAAATGGGCCATAGAAATACAGAGCCTCGAAGTTACTTTCGAGCCTAGAAAAGCAGTGAAGGGGCAGGCCTTTGCTGACTTTATTGTAGAGATGACTCGTCCTCCTGACTCGCAAGTTCCAGACCAAGTCTGGAAGGTATATGTGGACGGAAGCTCTACTTCAAATGGTTGTGGAGCAGGCGTCGTATGTCAATCTCCAGAGGGCGACAGGTTCGAGTATGCTCTACGCTTCAGTTTTCAGGCTTCAAACAATGAGGCAGAATATGAAGCTTTACTAGTCGGGATCCGCATGTGCAAGGCGGCAGGGGCAAGAAAAATAGACGCCTGTTCTGATTCACAATTGATAGTGA